CAGCACTGGTGTCCTGTCAGAGTATTCGACTTTGACTTAAAATCCTGAGAAAATGAAAGTGTATCTTATGATAAACAGAATCAAAAGACATTGTTTCACTGTAGACTGTCCTTGAAAACCTTTCATTCCTTCTCCATTTTCATGGATCCATCCAATGAACCCTGCAAACCAGGTAAAAATGCCTGTTTTGTTATCAGCTGATCTTTCTGATGCAAAACATTTATGTGAATAAGTACTAGTACCTGGGAGAACTGAAGGCTTTCTGCTGCAGGGCTGACAATTTCAGAACAGACACAGGGCAGAGGGTGTTGCGAGGGCATGCAATCGGCAGTGGGATACTCTTGGCAATAGGGGAGCAGGTCAGTTTGCTCCACTGAAGGGCACTCTGCAGAGGAGGGCTTGCACCAGCAGGGCTCTGCAGAGTGGTGGCCCACATGACAATGCATCATGGGAAAGAAGGTAAGACTCAAACCAATCTGGGAAAGCTGGAAGAGGACACAAAGCTAAACAGGAAGCTTAAAGTGGATGCAACAGCAGGTGGGGCCTAGCTTGAAAATGCATGAGCAATTCAAGAGTCAGCTGACATGCTGAGCAGCTGCATTTCATACAGATACAGGCTGTCAGCTGTGTTGTGCTGTTGTAATGCATATGGTAGGGAGTGAAAAAATAATGCTTTATCATGAGGCTAGAAAGATAAAGTCTGACCTAGGGAGAGGGAGTACGCTGAGTGGGTTCTGGGGAGAAGGAAGGAAGTGGGAGCATATATCTCAAAGATCAAGGGCCAGAATGAGAGGCATAATGACAGAGTTGTCAAAAACATTAGAGAAATTGAAAGTGGGACAAAAAAGACCACAAAGTTCTTCTGACTCCTGGTTGTAGAAAAGAGAAAGGTTGAGATGAAAGAAAAAGAGAAAGGCTGTTGCATAAAAACAGAGAGGTCACTGGAGATGAGACTGAATCATAAAATATTAGGGTTTTATTATTACTATTAAATTATTAGTTATAAGTTATTAGTTATTATTATGTCAAGTGTAAGGTCCTGCACATGGGTTGGGACAATCCCAGGCACAAATACAGGCTAGGTGATGAGTGGACCTAGAGAGGCCTGGCGGAGAAGGACTTGGGGGTGTTGGTTGACGAGAAGCTCAACATGACCCAAGCAATGTGAACTCATAGCCCGGAAAGCAAATCACACCCTGGGCTGCATCAAAAGAAGTCTGGCCAGCAGGTCGAGGGAGGTGATTCTCCCCCTCTACTTTGCTCTGGTGGACCCCACCTGCAGTGCTGTGTTCAGCTCTGGGACCTCCAGCATAAGAAGGATGTGGACCTGTTGGAGTGAGTTCAGAGGAGGGCCATAAAGACGATCAGGGGGCTGGAGCATCTCCTCTGTGAGGACAAGCTAAGAGAGTTTGGGTTGTTCAGCCTGGAGAAGAGAAGGCTCCAGGGAGACCTTATAGCAGCCTTCCAGTACTTAAAGGGGGCCTACAGGAAAGGTGGGGAGGGACTCCTGATCAGGGGGTGTAGTGATAGGACAAGGGCTGACAGCTTAAAACTGAAAGAAGGTAGATTTAGATTAGATCTTAGGAAGAAATTCTTTACTGTGAGGGTGGTGAGACACTGGAACAGTTTGCCCAGAGAAGTTGTGGCTGCCCCCTCCCTGGCAGTGTTCCAGGACAGGTGGGATGGGGCTTTGGGCAATCTGGTCTAGTGGAAGGTGGCCCTGCCCATGGCAGGGGGGCTGGAACAAGATGACTGTTAAGGCCCTTTCCAACCCAAACCATTCTATGATTCTATGACTACCACAAGGAGAAGCTAAACTAGGTCGTTCGAAACAATATCCTCCTCACCAAGTTGATCAGGTCCTTCTGAATGTCTCGCAGTTTCCCTTTAACACGTGCATTTGCATTTTCAATCTGGTGCAACTTCACATTTAGTTGATCAATTGTCACAAGAAGTGTTTTGTGTGACAGCTCCAGCTCTTTCATCCTGTGATAGTGAGAATGAAGATCTTTGCTAAGTAAATACCACGCAGTACACCTCCAGATAGATTAGCAGTCATCAGCAATGCATCAATTTATCTTTATTTTTCCATTTTTCTCCCAACAATAAAACAGTAACAAATTGTTGATCAATAATAATAACCATTTAATTCTTAACAAGCCTACTGGGCTTTGCATATTACACTGGAGACTTTCAAAACTGTTAAAGACGTTTATATCCATTCTCTCTCTGTTGTCTTACTATGAAAACCATAAGCAAACACATTTACAAGATTAACGTTCACTGAAGCTTGGCACACTATATGAAGTAACAATTTACCATAAAGACAACCACAACATTTTGGTCTCTAAATGTATCTGATCATAGGATTTTGCTAGGTTTACAGTCAGCAAATCCAAATTTTATGATGGTGGTAAATGCTTCCCATCAAAATTAAGATTACAGGTAACCTATGAATACTATGTGTTTTACTGACTGAAGGGAAAATATCTTACTTATAACATACCTCACAGTGGGTACTGAAACCTATAATCCATAACCGTACTGACATTGTCCGCAAAGCTGGATTTTGACAAAATACAGGTTTGCTTCACCTGTTGCTATTAAAATGGTAGTGTAAGATGATGTGGTGTGATGTGATGGGGTGCCTCTACACAGGAGGAGTACCTAAGATAATCTTATGAGAGCAAGCCTCCTGTTTTCCTTAAGGTTTCCCTTCCCTTTTCGGCCTACACATAAAAATGTTCTCAATGTTTAAAACAGTTGTGAATTCCAAATCGTACATTTCTTGTTAAGGAAAATTTTTTTCCAGTCTCTCATCTTCTGTGGCGGGTACTAGAGGCTCCTCTTTTCTCATCTCAGAGATGCACACATTACTCCCTGCGCCCCTCAGGACTGTGCTGTACCATATCTTCTTCCTTGAATTTCTTCATTCAACCTTCAATAGTCTTCCACTTGGCTCCCCTGCTCATTTCTATCTCCTATCTTTGTATTACCACCCTTACCTGCCAAAATTTCCTGCTACCTCCATCCCAGCATGACAATGCTACCTTCATTCAAATATCTCACATGAAAACATATTTTTGAGGCAACGGCATTAAGATCACACATCATTAATTAAGTACCTACTCATGTATCAAAGCAAACCTGACGAGGTCCTCCCCACTGCAGGCACTGCATAATCTAACACTGGTATCAAAGGAAACTGGGCCACATCAACACAAAACTCTACCCTGGCTAGTTACAGCTGCTGACTCTGCTTCTCTGGTTTTTCCAATATTTCTGCCTTCCACATCATTCCCCATCTCACTTGTCTGTGTTTCAGCCTCAAGAACTTCAGGCACAGGATTTCTTTTCTTTCTACTGGCTACCCAAGGTTCCTGAAAATGGGCTTCCTTTATCCCGTGCAAGTTTCAGCTGGTCATTTGCTCTCCTTGAACTATTCGCTCACACTTTCTTTGTTTTGGTTTTAAATAAAGTTCTTCCCGTCTTTTCCTCCACAAAGTCTTTGTTAAAACAGGCCTCTTTCTTTGAAAGCTTCCATTCCAAAACAGATCCATTATTATTTTGACAAAAAGCCCATTTCTGACCAAATTCCTCGATGAATCAAAGAATTAAGAAATTCTACAAATAATTACTTTGAATACCATTTATATTTTCTATTCTTTTCACTACTTGGTTTTGTTTAGAACTGTGCAGTTGCTGACTGTCAAAACCTTGATCATACTCTAGTCAACTACATAATTAATGCTTAATGACACTTTAGTTACTGTAATGATTAGCATTAACATACTAAACTAGATTAAGTTTTCTGAAATAAGGAACTTTTTTTGCAACGCAAAATTCCAAATTAACTCTTAATTTGAAAGAAAAGGGATATATTTTACAAGCAGAATTTATACCTTATGAATATTTAAGAATGAAACATCCTGAGAAAGCTGTCTGGTTATTTGCAACAAAATTTTAGATCATGCTGTATCTGATTTAAATAATAAAAACAAAAAATTGAATATTGCATTTCTACTCTGACAGGTACAGAAAACACTTACACATGCATCTTACCAGGCACTATGAAAACACGAAGCCTTTCTTTTTGCTAGTTTTGCCAGTCAGTACATGGGGCAAAGGGAATAGTACCTTTGTCACATCACATAATTTTGAATGCAAAACCCCCTTTTATTTACCTGTTTCTTAGGACAGAATCTGACTCCATGTAGTCCTCTAGAACACTTTTCAGTTTTTGCTCCAGCTTTTCTAGCTCTTTTATTCTGAGGTTCAAATTCTCTTCTCCAGCACTGTTTACTTCATCAGGTACACTTGCATCTTCTAGTTCCTGGAAAATCCAGGAAGTGTCAATTTTAACATTGAATAGGATATCAAATCCTTCATTATTGGACATTTCGATACAGCAACAACACTCTTGTTTTCTCCCAGATGAAGGATCCATAATGAAAAAAAACCAAATTACTAGGTTCTCAATGCTCTGCAGTCTAAGCATGCAACAAAAGAGTCTAAGCCTCTGATGATCAAATGAACAGTCTTTCTCAATTCTGAACGCATTTATTATTTATGGGAGAGTCTCATTTCATTAACCCCAAGGTAATTCAGTATGTATGAAAGGAGTTACAGTTCACAACATGAGATCCCCATAAAAGATGCAATTAGACTAATTCATGAAGGAATCAGACATCAAAGTTTTGAAAAGAGTATGATTTTCTACCAAATAGAGGAGTTGATAAAATTGAGTATTTTTATCACAGAAAAATCAAACTTATTTTGCATAAATTCATTAATTTTTTTATTGTTTCAAAACAGAAGATTAAAAAAGTATATTTCCTATCCAGAAGCAATCTACGACTATTTCAGAGAAACATTCAGCATATTTAACTGGCATTTTGGAATTCTGCATTCAGCATTTTACTTAAAAGTCTACTTCACCTCTGACAGGTTGTGAAACCATGCCTAAAAGGAATGTTTATACTTGGGCTTGGGAAGGCAAGCTAAGTTTGGTTGGTTTCCTTTGCCTCTTTTAGCTCTAAAACTTCTTCAGCCTGCAGTTCACCTTCATTTGCAGAAACTCTCTTCAGTAAGTACAGCCCTATAACTAGTAAGTATAGCCCTATAACTGGCATCTGTGAAATGCCTTTGCTTTTTGCTACATTTGTATTGATTTGGAATTGGATCTGTAATTGGAATTCAATGTAATTTTCAACTGTGCCCCAGCCTAATATCCAACCCATAAGCTGTTAAAAGAAAAATTTTTAACAGTATATTTTGCAGAAAGTAGGCAACAGATAAAAGCAGTGAGGATGGACCAGGCAGGTGACACTTAAAATCATTACACTGATTTCTACTCATATATTCTAGTACATGTTCTTGTTTGTAAGTGCACATTTATTCACTGATATAACGAAAGTTAATGCTGATTCAAACCTCATGATCCAGTAGGCTCTACTCTTCTGATGCATCATCCTGAAAACTACTGAGTCCTTCAGCATAAAACCAGGAAAGATGTTACAACTGATATCAGAAATGAGAAACGTATTGTTTCCTTCTTTGCTTGTACAGCTGGGACAGATGACATGAAGCTATGTCACAGAAAGTGAAAATCAGCCTCAGCATCTTGCATGAACTGAATCTAGTCAGTTAACACGCTATACCTGTTCCCAGCTCTATAATAAATACCAGTATGCAATGGACAGTAGGACTGGAATGACGCACTCCGTTTTCCAAAACTACAAACCCTGCTAGCTCAGTACAGAATAAAAACATCGTGAATGTCTTGGAAAACGCCACCCAAATCAGCCAACTTCTTTGAAAAAAACACCACATGTAAATTACAATGTAACAAAACACATAAAAACATAAGAAAACAAAACTGCTCATACCTTTCCTGCTTTGTAACAAAAACATCTCCTGTCTGTGCAGTGCTCTTACTGTTGCAGCCACATGCTTTGACCATCCCATGTTTGTGCTTATAGTTTCATTTCCAAAGCACTGATGAGCAAAACTATGTCTATGAGAAGAAAGTGTTTCTTTGCCAAGTGAATCACACTTTCCAATTTCTGTTCCTTCATCAGCACCTGCTTTTGTTATCTCAAGCTCTGTTTATCTGCTGTTTTGGTCCTTCTCTTCAGAGTAATGCCAAAACTCTTCCTTTTGTAGTGAAGACTTCATTTTTCCATATTCTGTCATTACACTGCTAAAAGCTTTAACTAAAACATGAAAAATCTGTTATATGAAAACACATTCTTTAAATGCTTGTTCCTTTTGAACAACACATTGTGAGCAATAGATTCTTTTAGGGATTGAGTTCCAAACTTCTGCATGTTCCTTGTTTCAAATTTAAATTGTGCTTTGTACCAGGAAACAGGGTTATTCAGCCCCTCACACAAGCCACAGTTTGCTGCATCTGACTGAATTAAACCTGTGGAGTGCCTCAGCTCCTTCAGCAGGTAAAGGATCTTGTCTGGTGATTCTTTGTGAAGAGTACATCTCTGGTCTTCAGAGACTAAAAATTATCTGAGAAAACTGGATTCTTTGGAGGCTGATTCCTGCACCTTCAACAGTGAGCTATTCAGTTGCTATGACAAATCTTTTCCCCAGCTTTCTTTGTGCAGCCTTGATTGTTCTTTGCCTTATGTTACTTTTTTCAGTCATAATTTCCATTTATCTGGTATTATCATAACCAACTTATTCCACTTCATGTTCATGTTGGAGTTCAGTGTGTCCATGGAAGCAGACTTGTTTCTCTGTGGCTTTCTACGTAGCCCTTTTAACACAAAGATGATTTTCAAAAAAAATTGAGGGAGGAGAAAGTTACCTTTTAATATTGTGCTCTTAACATTTTCAGCTTGCCTCAACATTCCAGAAATAATTAAAATTATCTTTTTCTTCATATTGTCTTTCCAGTTCTGAAACAATTATTTGCTTTTCCCTCTTCAAAAGAAAAGCCTAACCTTTTAGAATTTTCTAGCCATTCTCCATCTTAAACAAATCTTTTCAACTTCAAACTTTGGGTGTGCTTCATCCCAAATTTTTCTTGCTGTTCAGGTCGTCAATTTCTTGACTGTTTATCTACCTCTGCTGGTTGAGTTTGTGCCATTTTTGCTTCCTGGTAGCTAATGTAATTTTTTTTGTACCTGGGAGGATGCCATGATTTCCAAATATTTCTCTGCTTATCACATTCATCTACACACCCATTTCTTCAAGCCCCTCTTTCTTCTCGAAGAGAAAACTGAGCACAGCACATCATGCATTCTCTTTTCCTGACCTCTCAGGCCACCTTGGGATCTTCCATTCTCCCAGTGCTGTCTTTACAAGTTATTGCCTTAATTTTCAAGAAACATTCAAAAAAATAATTTCTCCCACACAGTCCTTGCCCGCTTCAAAGTTTTCTTACTTTAATCTACCATCTTGCCTTTCTCCAAAATCCATCTCTTCTCCATCTGTGTATTTCCAACTTATGAATTTAATATGAATTTTACCAGTGCGGGGTTGTAAATATCTATTTGTTTCCAACTTTGAACAGTTTTTTCCTGTCAGCTATTTACTATAGAGAACTTATTGTCAAACATTTAGCTTTTTTACATAGATATTAAAAAGGAGATTCTGTGTTTCCTGGGTGAAATGCAAACCACATTTGTTGAAAGCATGCAGTATGGAGACAAAGATCTCAGTACTGTAAGAAAACGGTTTGGTAGATAACAGTTCACATAGCAGCCAGTAATTGCACTTGTATTTTTTCCAGTGTTTGATTGGTGTGAGAGTGTAAATTCTGTTTAGATTTCTTTCAGTGTTTATGATGTGCTGGTCCTTATTTGAGTATCAAATCATTCCAGCTTGAAGCTATATCTTAAAACAAACCTCTAATTTTAAATTGAAATATTTGCAGCTTCAAGTATTATGCAAACTGTTTTATGAAAAAAATGCACCAATTTAAAGCTGCTCAATAAATATTTTCTGTATTTTTGCACGTGGACTCAGCTGTTCACTCCATAGGTTCTTTTAATAGCCTGTACACAAAACAAAAACAGAAAACAAAAACAACAACAAAAAAGAAAAAGTCTGCTGAGCTTTAGATAGATAACATTAATTTAGAAATAAGTGTTGGCATCCAGCCCTAAATTCAGACACCAAAATCTCTTTCTAAAAGTTTTATATTAGCTTAAAAATAACAAGAACCAAAATTACTATCACCTGCTTTGCCTTGAAATAACGAACAATGTTCCAGCTACAGTTAAGTATCTTAAAATAGGCTTTGCTGTGTTACATTAATCAGAGACAGATTCACGTCTTGCAAGATGAATTAAAGGAAATATTGCTCCCCACACTAGCACCACAACATGATGTGCACTCCTAGAAATGTGAGAGTTGAGTGGCTATGTGGCTACACAGCCATTATCTCTATGTTATCCCCTCAAAATGCTTGTCACTAACCTTGATTTTTAACTACTTCAATAGTTGCTGTTAACAGGAAGAACAGCAGGTTATAGCAGCACAATGTATTTTTCACTATATTTCATCTGGAGAAGAATTATACTTGTAATTTTTTTCCTCTTTTGTTTCCAAAGGGAACCCATAATACTATCAGCTGTATCAGCATGGAAGCCTATAGATCAGGTCTAAGCCTTGAACTCATAGAAATTTTTGAACTAACAGTATTTCAAAATATTTTAAATGGAATTTGAAAAATGCTTGTGATCTCACTAAGTTTATAGAATGTTTATAAAATGTCTCTAAACTTGGCCAGTACACTTCTCACAGTATTTAAAAACAAGTATGTTCATCCAGATGTTAGCACCTCTAACTGGGACTGGATTAAAAATCTGGATGAAAATCCAAAACCAATACTTTGGTGACTTCCTTTAACATTCTCTTTCAAACTTACATAAACCCAAATAGTATCTGACCTTTTTGATCTCCACAGAACAGAAAATTCAACTCAAACTGTGGTAAGGTGAATACTGCACCACAAGGTTTCTCCTTTCTTCAAACACATCTCTATAAGCATGTGCTCAATTTTTGACAAAACAAAGGAAACTTCAAAAGGAACGTTCAAAATGCTGTAAAAAATATTGCTCAATTTCAACCAATTTTCAACACCCATCTAACAAGCAAACGAAAGCTACTGCACTTGTAACAAAACAATAATACCCTTAGATTATATTCCACCCATTTATATCTACCATCATTTTATTGCAAAATATAAAACATATGCAGTACCACTAGTAATGAAAGACCAGAGCCAGTTCCCAAGAGCACTAACAGAAAGATGATAACTGAATGTACTGGGAGCTGAATAAACCCTCAAAACAGCCCGTGACAATACAAGTCTGATTTCTCAAAAGCACTTGTGATCTGGGCAGAAGAAAATACTGTTTCAAGCTTAATGTAAGGTAAATTTAATAGCTCTTTTGGGTAACTATTGTCATCATGCTTCTTCATCATACAGTACTTGATAGCAGTTTCAAAGGGATTGATTAACCACGTCTCCTGTGAGATTCCATGAACATAATTCACAACAGATTCCAAAGAAGAAAAAGACTTGAAAAAATTGTAAAGGTAAAATCGTTGCATATTTTCAGTTTATAAAAAGCAAAGCAAACCAAAACAACAGCAACAACAAACACTGTGTAAATATTCAATAGTTTTAAAACGAAGCTTAATCCTAACTAACAACAGTTAGGTTGTTGAGTTACCATCCTTACTCAAAGGCAGTGTGCAACCTGCATTGCTCCAGGAAGGAGGACTAGGACTGCTTTTCTAAATTGTATTTCCCTCTTGTTCTGTGTGAAAGGTGGGCACTGCTGCTATAGCTCCTGCTGTAGCTGAAGAAATTCACTCTATCTTTTGCATTGAGCTGAAAGGATCAGGATACTGTGGAAAGGTAATGTCTCAAGGGAGAGACATGGAGGTTTCTTATCTTCATCTTTTCCATGTTGCAGGGGCACATGGAGGATCAGTCACATTGCAACCTTCACACTGCCTCATAAAAGGGAAATTAGGTTATCATTTCCTAAGTTATTTCATGGCTTCAAGGATCTTGAGGAAGTAAAATGAACCCCTTTTTTGCACGTGTCATGACGTTTACTGGGCTTTTTTAGAAAACAAAACTGAAAAGAAAACACTGTTTGCCACCTCTCCATCTGGCATGACAGAAGGCAGGATCCTACAGTAATACCTGATCTACACAAAATGCACCTGCTCTGCAGAATTGAAAAGCACCCACTGCAGTTAGGGCAGTCAGTATCATAGAATGCAAAATCATTTCTCACTGAAAACCCAATGACTCTCTGCAGAAATCTAGGAAGGTAATTGAAGGCATCCAAGCTGGATTGTATATATGACCCTTTCTCTCTGTGCAAGCAGAAACAGTATACCCTCCCCGATGGTTTCAGGGTCTTACAAAGACAATTCTCAAAACATGGCAAAATCCAAAATTCAAAAATTGAGTACAAAGAAATACAAAGAATACCAACCACACGTCTTGGTTCAGTTGTGTCATCAAGGCCACAGAATGAATGCTAGTGAAAAAAACAAAAAAAGGAACAAAAACTATAACATAAGATCAAAAGAAAATGAGGAAAAAAGAAAAGAAAAAAGATGTAAATTATGCAATATGAAATCCAATGACTTTACAGCAGTTAGTTTTACATCAATATTAATTGAGTTGACCTGAAAGAGAGACACAGTATGCCAATCTTACTATAAAAAGAGGTAAAGGGTACAAAATCCAGTATTTGAGGGCAGCTTTACAAATGGTAACATCTGTGGATTATGTAACTTCAGAAATATCATGCTTGGCTTTGTGACTCAGTTAAGTAAGCACCTATAATTACACACCTGAAAGCTTTCCTGAACCAAGACTTACCAAGCCAAAGGCATCAAACTAAACGCAACTTAAGTGGTAGAGAATCATGAGAAAAGCACCACATGCTTAAACAGCAGTTGTTCAACTCGTAGAATGAAACTGAGATTTTACATTATTCTTTTGTATAGCCTTTAGAAGCAGGACAGTCTGATGAATAATCCATTGGGCAAAAATACTGTCATCCTTATGTTCTGATTTGACAAAATTTTACATAAAACTTAAAAATTGAATCCATTCCTAAAGTAAAATAAAGCACCATACTCATGACACAGTAACTGTAAGTTGTGCATTGCCCTTAGCTACAACCAGCAATGAGTTTGAGCTATAAATACTGCCATTCCTTCAAAATCATAAGACTTCTCTCCACAGGAAATTATTGTGCTCAGTATCAGCGGCATGTAGATGTCAGTCTGCACTCACTGGCATATTAAACCTTCAGAAGAACAATGAAGTAGAAGTATTCTACTATTGATTCTCTGAACACACAATCTTCCTTCAGGCTGTCAAATTCAGAATGGGATTTAATCCCAAGGAAAAAAATATTCAAATGTATTACAGATAGAAGGAAGCCCTCCACCAATCCAGGAGCTGAAGGTTAATAGAAAATGATGAAGCTTTTTTGAGGTCCTCTGCTAATGTAATGTTAAGGCAAAGAGAATGTTAATGATTTTAACTCATTACCAGCTTTCTGCTAAGCTTGTGATTAATCTGTTTCTTTTCCAATACTTTTCCCCATCCATTCAACTGATGAACCAGCACAAATAATGGCAATCCATTTTCAAATCAGCAGTCTGTCTAATCCAATCCCTACTCTGCAAACTGTAAAGGCAATGCATTAAAGGCTTACATTTTGGCAATAGCAACATCTAGAGATTTTTATGGTTTAGACTAGGTGGATAAACATTAAAGTTTGCAATAATTAACATGTAGAGGTATCACCTATCCCTGAAGGTTTCTCTGCTTTGAGGAGTTAACTGTAGCATCTTAGTCATCAGAAAGCCAATGGCATCCTGGGCTCCATCAAAAGAAGTCTGGCCAGCAGGTCGAGGGAGGCGATTCTCCCCCTCTACTCTGCTCTGGTGAGACCCCACCTGCAGTGCTGCATTCAGCTCTGGAGCCCCGAGCATCAGAAGGATGTAGACCTCTTGAAGCGAGTCCAGAGAAGGGCCATAGAGATGATGAGGGGGCTGGAGCACCTCCCCTGTGAGGACAGGCTGAGAGAGTTGGGGTTGTTCAGCCTGGAGAAGAGAAGGTGCTAGGGACACCCTATAGCTGCCTGTAAAAGGGGCCTACAGGAAAGCTGGGGAGGGACTTTTTACAAGGACATGTAGTGATAGGAAAAGGGCTAAGGGCTTTAAACTGAAAGAGGGGAGATTTAGATTAGATTTTAGGAAGAAGTACTTTACTGTGAGGGTGGTGAGACACTGGCACAGGTTGCCCAAAGAAGTTGTGGCTGGCCCCCCCCTGGCAGTGTTCCAGTGGAAGTGTTCAAGACCAGGTTGGATGGAACCTTGAGCAACCTGGTCTAGTATGAGGTGCCCCTGCCATGGCAGGGGGGTTGGAACTAGATGATCTTTAAGGCCCTTTCCAACCCAAACCATTCTATGATTCTGTATGTACCAGAGAAAATGAACCTGAGATGATGTTTAGGCTAGATACAAGGAAGAAGTTTTTCACCCTGAGGGTGGTGAGACACTGGCACATGTTGCCTAAGGAAGTTGTGGATGCTCCATCCCTGGAAGTGTTCAAGACCAGATTGGATGGAGCCTTGAGCAACCTGGTCTGGTGGGAGATAACCCTGGCAGGGGGGTTGGAAATAGATGATCTTTGAGGTCCCTTCCAACCCAACCATTACACGATACTGTGATTCTGTGATGTGACATGCCTTGGGAACTAGGCACTGGCTTACCAAAAGCGACATAACTAAAACACTTTGCTAGGGCTTAGAGAAATCCCCACTGTCAGCCCATGCCCTGCAGAACATCCTAAACAGCACAGACCTGGGAAACACTTGAGCACACAGGCCAGGAACCTCGTGGCATCTCTTGTTTGGGATCACAGTGACCCAAATACATTTGCTGTCTTAAGCCTGAATCAGAGCTTCTCTAAAAAAGGAGAAAATATGTATTTTTTGTTTGTAGTGTTTGTCACATGCACCTATTAACTTTGTTTTAAGTACTTGCAAGTTTTGCAAAGCAATGTTATCCAAAGGACAGGGCTGAGCTAACAGATTCTGTCTGAGCTAACAGAGTCTTTATGTTGTTTCCTCACATAAACCACAACAAATCCTCCCCCTTCTAGTCCAATGTCTTTCCAAACTCCTTGACCCCTTTCTGTACTTGACAGAAACCCCAGATAGCAAATAATTTTGAGCAGATTATGGACTGAGCTTCATTTCATGCTGCAATGACTTGAACTCAAATTTTATCTTGTTTTAAAATAGATTTTATGATGTTAAGTACTATTAAAGTCAATGCAACAGAGAAAAATAATATATTATGGAAAAAAAAAAAGCCTTTGGCATTGCCCAGTCACTTATTTACCTTTTCCTCAATTTCTTTGAGTTGCCTCTTTTGAAGTTCTATTTTATCTTCTAGTTCTCGAATTCGCTGAAACAGAAAAAGCAAAATAGCTATTATTATATCTACTTTGAAAAGTATATGAATCAAAAAGATAAGAAATAGATTAAAAATTAAGATAACAAATGCCCATTATTAATGTAATACTTCCTTTACGATTATACTAGGCATGTCCATGGCAGGGTTGCTCCACATCTCCATGAAACCATGCCATTTTAAACAGGTGGCACATTCAGAACATTTTGTTTATTACCAGGAAGTCTACTCATTACCACTCATTAACGATAATTTTAACATATACACCTAGACAATTCCAAGTAGCACCAAAATGCAGATTATACCAGCACATTTAATTTCAACTTTCTATCGTCCTTTCCTATAAAATGTAACTATGCTTCTGGCATAGTCACACTATACCAGAAAAACAGAGCACACTTATTTTCAGTTCATCACTAAGACACCATCTAGAGAGTGAGCTCCACCCTATTACCAGAGCCACCACCCACCAGAGTCAGAGGGAATGCCTCCTGCAATGCAGCTCTCTGTATTTTTAAGGATTTTCCTTGTTCAGTTCCTCAAAGGTTCTCCAAAAATATGACGGTTTTTGGATACGTGTATCCTATCTTATTTCTGTCCCCTTATTTCTAGAAGTTATGCTTCCCCTTTTTTTGTGTTTTGCTTTGTTTTTTATTTATTTATTTATTTTTAACTATTTTCTGGGCTTCTACATTAAGAAAATGCACTTCATTACACTTTTAGTATGTTGTACTTGTTACACATAAAATAGGTTCACAAAGTTGTTTTTTTTTTATATGTAGAAACCTGGAATTGCCTACTAACAGCCACTGGGAATCAAGAAGCAACTTGGTACTATCAGTATTTTTTGGGATTAACTACCTGACTTCTGCCTGGCCTACAATAGCTAAGGTTATTAACAGTTCCTGAACTTTCAAAGAGAAATTATGATTTACTCTAATTTCTATGTATCAGCTAATAAAATTAGTGTAGCATCTGCCATACCACTCCCAAATTATTTTATTACACCTAAATTGATTTGAACAATAGCATCTCTTTCAAAACTACATCAAATCATTACTTATAAACCTGTGCGACCAACTGACGTTGATAGTTGATTACCTGCATTCAATTCGAAGACCTCAAACAGTGGGAAATGCTCCACACTCATGGTAGCCCAGGCAGCAAGGTCGCAGCTGATCCAATGACCATACTGTTTTTGAGAACCACAGTTTGGCTTGAAAATTGCAAATTTAACCTGGACCTACCCCAAAGATGGGGTATGTCCAACCCTGCAGTTCACTTTCCCTGGGGCATACTACTCTCCATGCAGATATTGCAGACAGGTCACAAAGCAACAGTTCTGTTATTGTTGTTGCTGTTTTAAAAGATTTTGCTTAAATGGCTGTTTTGAATATTATGCAGTCAGAGTAAGTCAATCAGAGCCTCCACTGTATCATGCTGCAATGCTCAGGGACTTCCCCAGATGATATAAAGGCACAAACCAGATTACCCTCAAATGGCAATAGTGCATGCAGCTTTGCTGACAACAAAAAATACCCCAAGCACAGCTGTATTAATTTCACTTTTCCTCTATTATATTTGAATTGATTTATCATCTCCTCCCACCTCAAGGCAAGTCTATCTCTCAGGTGATCATCTTCATGTATTGCAGGTACCTGAAATATTACAATCACTATAAAAAGCCATGAGACGAGAAGCAGGCAGATGTAATCACCTCTGAGACCTCTGGTCCATCAGGTTACACTCCTGTTTCTCTCCCACTCATTTCAGTTATGCTGATTCCTACTTACAACCACATCCCAGATCTGAGTGACAGACTTCAATTCTCTGGGAGTCCTGCTATGCTCTGTGATAAAATCTGACCATGGTGAGGTAAGTGGAGAGAAGCAATATTTAAAAAAATAACATTTTCACCTTCAAGACTTATCATGTGAGATATTTTTTTCAATATCTGCTGAGAACTCACCTCCAGAAACAAAAAGAAAAATGAAAAAGCCCCCAAGCATCTTGTGGCTTTTTCACCTCAGGGTTTACAGCAAGTGTTCTTTTATAAAAGAACATGTTAATTAGGATAAGATGGCGTTTTTCAGATTTGGGAATTCTGTTAATTAAGTAAAAATTGAGATGTTATTATTCCCCTATGAATTTTTAATCTTTTCAAAAGATTACAACTATTCAGTTATTCTCTCTGGCTATTCAGAATAGTTCTAAAAAAAACCCCAAAACAGCTGAGGCATATGTTTTCCAATTCCCACCCACAACCCATCATAGTTGTTAAACTTTGTGAGATGAAAAATAGAGAATAGTTGTAAGGTGAAGAAATACACACTTCCCTAAAAATCAGTTTACATACAAAGACAATCTAGCAATTGAAGGGGAATATGTATAGGGTTGAATTTCCTAGCAGTGAAAATCTAAAAAAAAAATAATCCTCAAAACAACTAGATTTAAGTCAGTAAGGCAGATATATACAAGGTGGATATAGTCAGTAGGGCAGATATTTACATGTATACATGTGCATATGTATGTAAACCTGTTCTGGGCTTGCCACCTAAGGATAATAAGTTGAAGACAGATGACTAGTGTTTAAATAGCTTGTATTCCCCTTATATGAGTGGAAATCACAATGACAGAAGACTTAATGCTGCAACTGAGTAAGATTTTGTAACCAACTTCTTTACCACAGAAATCAAGAGTTCAAAGCTAGACAGGTCAGAACTTTTTCCAAAACACAACCATAGGCGGGAATTTTCCATCGGGTATCAAAGCTTGGGATTGTTTACTCCTTACTTGCTTTCCCCTGGAGTACTGCAGGGAGGATTATCCAGGAGGATGAAGTGGGCGTAGCTATTCCCATCAATATCCCCTGATTGCACAGGGTCAGCACTGGAAGATAACCAGCCTAGCTCAGCTATTTATACATCCTGAAAAATCTGATTTAACACACTTATTTCCATTTAATTGCAGAGACAGCCTTAAAAATATACATATATATGCACTATATTGGCAGGAAAACACAGATTCACATCTACATGTGGTATTTAACACATAAAAATAATTATTTTCCCCCATTATACCTATCTACATTTACAGCATTATCTTGGTCATACAAAGATAATAATTTCTGAAATACGTCTTTAGAAAACACATGTAAGCTACATGCAATTATCCTAGCTTTAACAAAAAAAGTATCTTCTAGAAGTAGCAAGAGATGTTCCTCAGTCAAAAGTTATATTAAACTACTGAGAAGGAAATTACACAAAAATTACACACACTAATTAAGACCAAAGGTAGGACTGCTTGAGATTCAGTATAAGCATTTACATCTTTATCTACTGTACTTTTTATTTGCAAGAATTAGCAATCAAGAAGCTGTGGACTCACTCTCAGGTTTTCAACACTTGATTAGATGCTTTCAATGAATTCTGATTTGTTTATGTTTGCAAAAGCATAACTGTGACAACAAACCACACAGAACTATTATATTGTCATCAAGAAATTCCACCTGCTTTCATGCTTCAGGGCATAAACTGGTGATCAGTAAGTCGAGCTTTTCCTACTATATCATATAGAGTTCTAACAGTTCTGCTGTAAAAGATGCATTCAGCTCTAGCTTTGACAAGGCTCGTAGGAACCTTGCAGGGTAAATCCAGTGCGTTTTCAACTGCACAAAAAACTACACAAGGAAGCAACAAAATCTACTGTATCCTGCTCTCAAAATATTGAGAAGTCTTGGTTGAGAAGAAAGACACAGGCTGCTCTTTTGTTTATTTTCTTTTTTAAAAAGGGTGGGATAGAAGATATGAGTAGACAACCTAAAGAGCTTTAAAAAACTATATACTATGTCTTTGCGAAAGGTTGCCCTTTGGCTGCCCAGGGAAGCGGCTGAGTCACCATCCCTGGAGGTATTCAAAAGACATGTAGAGGTGGTGCTTAGGGACATGGTTTAGTGGTGGACTTGGCAGTGCTACGTTAACAGTTGGACTTGATGATCTTAAAGGTCTTTTCAACCTAAACGATTCTATGACTCTAAAACCAGCACACTGTTTATCTTTTCTTTAAAGCCCCTTGCATTGGCCACAGTCAGAGCGAGGATTAGGGACAAAGTGGAGCAGTGTTTCGCTGGGTTCTAGCAATTCCTGCATTCCTACAGTTAATAGCTGCCACACAGTCACATGAGTGCACCTTTTCAGGACTGACAGGATTCATGAGAATAACACTGTGTTGTCAAATCATAGGGCCAAACAAAGGAATTACTGTAGGCAAACAAAGAGCCACAGTCAGACAAAAATAGTGCAATGAGAATGCAACCATGAAAGAGAAGAGCGCAAACATTAGGGACGTGGATTCTTAACACTGTTCACCTTGTCCGCATTCAAAACCAACCTGCCAAAGCAATGAATACTAATTTGTCATTGATTTTATTACAACAGCAAATAAAACATACAAAACTTCTGGTTGATGGATGGGTCACTTTGTTAATACTCCCTGTTAGGACCTTCACCCGCACGGAGCTCTCCTGAATTTTGGAAAAAGGGTTGGACGAGCATCCATTTCAATATGACAGGCACCTACTTGATAAATCATCCTTCCACTGGCAATGAAGTTTGCTGCCACTTCTGAGCTTACTGCTTGCAAGGAACCAGAAAATAGCAGGGGCTGAACGGGCCGTACTGCTGTTCTGAGCTAACGGCAGATGGCTCTGCTGGCCAAGTGACGGCTGGAACAGCAGCTTCAGCTCTGGCAGAAACAAGGCTCAGCTGTGAAATCCATTTGCATTTCCAGACAGCCAGAGAACAAAGATGCTAAAGATGTACAACATACGTCTGTCTTATTACTTAACCACAATTTGAACAGACTTTTAAGTTCCATTATAAATTTTTTCTTGATAACAGTTACATGTACGTTATATATACAAAGGTAGGTGGCACAGCTGACGGACAGCCTAAAAATGCTAGCGATTAGGTAAGAGAGAACACCCAGAAAGTTCA